GTAGGTCAGTAAGTCAAGCAGCTGTGCTGTGAGCCCTCACCTAGAGCTTTGGGGTTATCCCTTACTCCCACTAACAGCAAGGTGGGCCTGGAAATACAGAGATGAGGGGTGGGGGGGTCCCAGAACATGCTCATCACCCACTCTTTTTGGGTTCTCCAAGGACTGTGGGAATGTGGCTTGAACATGATTATAACACACTGAAAGCACCTGAAAGAGATGAGAAGACCCTCCCAAATCCTACCTGCGACCTCCAGTACAGTCTACCCAAGGAAAACCACCCACACCTCCCGCAGGACCGACAAGGCGCTGGCCCGTTCCACTCGGCCATGAGGCAGGTCCCCTAGAATGCAGGTAGGGATGTGGTGGGTCCTCAGCCTAGCTCAGGACCCCGAGAGAACACGTGGGACACGAGCGGAGCAAGCCCTGCACGAGCGTGGGGCCGAGTTAGGGCGAGCGGCCGCTGCTGGGACGGCCACGCCCACCCTCCTCTCTGGTGTCTGAGATTACAATGTGCCGTGTATTTCTTCCCGCCAGGGTATGTGGCGATTTAGCAGAAGCAGTCTTAAGTTCTTCTGGCCAGGAGAAAGCAATGGATGTGTACTCATCACTGTCAGTGTCGACTTCCTGACTGGCTCCCACGCTCATGTCAGGGCAGACAGGGCGAGACTCAGGGAGACAGGGAATGGCCCAGGGGGCTCTTGCACCAAGGTCTCCAGCAAACACCGAAGCCCCAAGGGTCACTACAGATGGCAGGGCCACTGTGAGTACTCACATAAGCACCAATGAGATGAAAAACAGCCATCTCAACTCTCCTAGCTCCGCAACTTTTCCTATCTTGCCCCAGACCCTGAGGTCTTCCTAGCAGAGCAAGGATCTTGACAGAGTCCCATCAAGACGGGGACAGACTAAGCCTGGCGCGCCCCCATCACACTTGCCAGCTGCCTCATTTCAGACATGTTACTGCTCCTCTGGGCTCGTTTCCCACCTGTGCAGCTAAAAACCTGGACCAAGCATCTCTTAGGGCTTTCTCCGGCTTATATCCCCTAGGAGTCTGAGAAATCACTTCCCTTTCACTGTCAGCCCTGCAAGGAATATAAATCCATACAGCAGAGGGAGGCTGAGTAGACAGTGTCAGCCCTGTCCCTTAAACCAGGTCACTGTCTCCTGGCTACCTGGGCTTGGAAAACCACTAAGCTCTACCAACCTATGTGTTCAGTGCAAAAACCCTGAGTTGCAAGCAGGGAAGATGAGATTATCTGTGCTTGTTAGAAAAGAAACCAGATGCTCAGAGAGGGTATGTTTCTTTTCCAAGAGCACACAGCAGGCATAACATCCGAGTTGGGTCCCAAACCTCAGGGACTCACCAGGAGCCCACGAGCAGAGAATGTGGGTGTGTGCTCACCCACGGAGTGCTGCCCCTGGCTTGGAGCTTGCATGAACACTCAGTAATGACCTGCACAGTGAAGGGAGCAGTCCCTGCCTCACCAAGTCTTCACTATGGCCAGGCTGACGGCCCAGGGAGTCAGCTCTCCTTAATCAGAGGACAGAACTGGTCTAGGCGTGCCTCCTAACTGCCACAAGCCTGCAGCAGGCCCAGCATAATGGAGACCGCTTCCTGAAATACTGCAGCTCACCCAGGTGAGTCAGGTGGCTTCACTCAGATGAACGGCATCTGCTTGTCCACCCAGGTGCATACGTGCATTACCACCTGGTCCTCCATGCACCACCCCCCCCAGCTATGTCTTGGGGGCATGCTGCAGCTGCACTCTCTTGCTTCCTCCTGCCTGATCCATCTTGGTTGCCAGGACGGTGGGAGTCTTGGTTGCCGGGGAGATGGGACTCAGGAAGGAAGGAGCGGCTGGGCTGGTCTCCGCCATGCTGAAATGAGCCTGCAGCTCTCCCCGCTTGCCAGCATTCCCAGCCACATACGTGGAAATCAC